CCCGCCGCCGCCCCCACGGCCTCCAGCCCCCGCCTCACGGACAGCATGCCACAGCTGCGTCCGAGGAGCGTCAGTCCAACGCTCTCCCTCCGCCCGACCGTCTCCAGTGTGTCACCTGCTCAATTTCGGAGGCAACCGCCGGTGGCGTGCTGAGGGATGGACACGAAGGGGGCTTGCCAGGGGCGTTGTGAGGACAGCGGATACACGGGGGATGGTGGGAGGGGAGGGTGGTAGGATGTTGTCGAAGTTGTGATGAACCATCGCCGTAGTATTATATGTCATATATAAGTTGAATTAAGAATACTCCGGAAGTTGGTGAGTTTATTCGTAACAACCCGTTTATTGTGGGACGTTGACAAAATAAAGAACGCCTTGCCCCTATTGCTATTTAGTGTATTGTGTCTTCTTAGATCGCCTTTCTTTTCTCTTTTTCTCTACAGATGTTGGATGTGTTTCATATTAAGAAGCATCAAATGTATTATGCGTTTGAATGAAGTTCCCTTTTCGCGCGTGTGTAGACGACGACAATTCTATTTCGGCGAATTTCTCATACTCAGTAAAACCGGGCACTAATCGACCTCGTTTTCCGCCATCTTTGTTTGCCCTGCTGTCGGCGTGCTCGACTTCAAGAACAAGCCCAAAGTCAACATGGACGATGAACGGGAGATGGGCAGAGGGGTAACGAGACGTAAAACTGCGTCTAATTTAACATTTTGCGTCAAAAAGGAAAATGATGGGAAATACAGAAAGGTGTGTAGTCTTCTCCACTGTTTGAATTCATTCTTTGCCTTCTAGAGTTTTTGATAAATCAATAAAAACTGAACTGCAGTGGGCGGATCGTCTGCAGATTATGACAGTCTAACACATAAACATATTGTTTATTTTCCTTGAATAACGATTTGTGCCTTTTTGCACATAATTTTTATATCTTGTGATGATTGTTTCATTATCGTATAGACTTCCAAGAAGCATATTTCTCTGCTTGAGCTGTACTGATTGTTCAAAGTAGTCCACTTCACAACTTAACCCAAAATTACAATTTTCACTGTTAAATGTCTTTTACTGTTTGTCTTGATGTTTTCCTTCACATGCCTTGTTTAACTTCAATTTTTAATTTTTAATATTTTTCTTACCGTTTTAAAATTAGATTCTTGAAGTTTTTGAAGAAATCAATACTGAAATCTCCTAATTGACTCAATTTGGTTATGGTCATTCAATTATATACTATACTCTCTGTCATTTAAAGGTTTATGCTGCCCTACAAAAAAAGGAGGAAGATCAAACAGAAGAAGAACGGCAACTGATTCTGAAAAATTCTGACTTGGTCAAGAAAGCTCGAGATAGGTAAGATGCCACTGTTTTCTTTTTTTATTTCCGATAAACCCTGAATTATTTTTCATTACCTGTTTCATTTGTGTCTTATAGCCTGAAGAAGAAAGAGGATATGAAAGCTAGGTCTGAAGAAGTTGAAGACCCTGATGAAGTATTAGTACCCAAATGTGAGGAATTGGCTGCTGCATTGAGAAATTCTAAAAATCTTGTTGTGTACACTGGTGCGGGAATAAGTACTGCAGCTAAAATCCCCGACTACAGAGGATCTAATGGTATCTGGACTCTACTTCAGAAAGGGAAAGATATTGGGTATGTCTCATAATTTTCATTTAAATACTACATTTTATTTCCCCTTTTTAACGTTTTGAATTTGGTTCGCACTTTCATCTTATTTTCCAGGAAACATGATTTGAGTCGAGCCGAGCCAACTCTTACTCATATGGCCCTATTTGAACTTTACTCCCAAGGAATACTCAAATATGTGGTTTCCCAAAACTGTGATGGTTTACATTTACGTAGTGGCTTGCCACGTTCTGCTTTGTCAGAAGTTCATGGTAATATGCATCTTGAGGTAAGGAATTAATTTGTTTTCTACTTTGAATCTATTTCTTATTATAATTTAATGTAATTTAATTTACGGCTATCTTTTTTCCATACCAGATTTGTGAAATGTGTCGCCCCAGTACACAATATTGGAGAATGTTTGATGTTACTGAAAATACTGGTCGTTTTACTCATCGCACAATGCGCCGATGTCACTACTGTCATTCAGCCCTCATAGATACCATTATTCACTTTGGAGAAAGAGGAAATCATCCTTGGCCGCTTAACTGGCCTGCTGCCAACAAAGCTGCTGATAATGCTGACACAATACTCTGTATTGGTTCAAGTTTAAAGGTTTATTATTTTTCATCCTTTGTTTTTATTCTCTTATAATTTAGACCCACACATTTAAATAAATTTATGCCCCTTAGGTTCTTAAAAAGTATCCATGGTTGTGGGGTATGGCAAAACCAGCACGGCAACGCCCCAAGCTGTACATCATTAATCTGCAATGGACACCTAAAGATGATCATGCTGTCCTTAAAATAAATGGTTTGTGATGCATGTAGTCTCATTGATTTTATCATTGCGATTATAAAGGTGTCATTTTAAGTATAGTGCTTTTCGGTATTTTAAGAAGGGTTTAGAATTTGTGCTGAAGTTCATTTGAATTATTTTATGGAATCCCTTTTAATTATCTTCTCTTTCTGCAGGACGTTGTGATCGAGTTATGCAAGAAGTAATGAGATGCTTAAATCTGAAAATCCCTGAATATTCTCGCTTGAGGGATCCCATTTTCTGCCATGCCACACACCTACATCCAGATGAAATGCATACCACCTCACAACCAGAACTCGACAGTCCTTTTAAAAAGGAAGAAAAGCACATTAAAGAAGAAAGTGTGGCACCTAAAAAGGATCTAAAAAGAAGCAGTTCAGTTAGTGAAATCGGCTGCCCAATGAAAGTGAGGAGACTTGACAGTGAGCAAGAATCCAGATGTGTTGTGAAAGAAGAACCTGATGATCCTTCCAATACTTCAACTGAACAAATCTGTGCAAAAGTAAAAGAAGAGGATGTTAAAGTAAAGCTGGAAATAAGTGATAATGAACAAGCGAATATGAATTCACAATCAGCGTGGCATGAATGTGAAGCATTTACTTTCTTTCCTTCAGCAGAGGAAATTGTCGATCAGACCAATTCTTGTGTTGATGGAAAGTCCTCAGTTGATACCAGAGGGATTGATGGGACAGCTTTGCTTCTAACTGAAAATGAAACTGATGAAGCCCTTAAAATTTCAAAGGAAAATATTGCTAGCTTAACAACTAGCTTTCACTCAATAGACGGGAAAGAGAATTTTGATGTCTGCTTTACGAAATCGTGTGGTACTGATAACATGAAATCTGCTAAAAAGATTGAGCCTGAGAAAACAGTTGATAATAATTCTGAACTAGACAAGCCCTGCAAAGCACAAAATCTCAGCAAGGGCATTCACCTTGCTAATGCTGAGTCTATTTTGGAACCATGTGGGAAATCATCTCTAAAAGAGCTAAAATTGAACGGGAAAAGCAATAATGATGTTTCTGAAGATGAAGTGGTTGTATTGAAAATGTTGCAGCTTGAACATAATTACAGCAAATCTTTGGACGATTCCCACGACAGCAAATTAGATCTCAAAGAGTTAAATCAAGATACAAAAAAAGACTTCAGAGATATGAAAACTACTCAAAATGAATCATTGAAAAGAAATCTTAGAAGAACTTCTAGGGATGCTGTGAATTACGTTGAAGATGATGAGGATGACAGTGATGAGAGTGAAACTAGCGAGGACGATGAGGGTGAAAGTAAAAAACAGCAAGGTGCAAGAGCCTCAAAGCAATCCATTAGTAAACAAACTTCCACTCAACCAGTGAAGAAGCAAGCTAAGGAAGAACCAAAGAAAAATCTTAAAGAGGTTGAAAAAAATAGCATAGAAGGCAACAGTGCACCCCTAAAACCGAGAAAACCTCCCAAGCCTACACCTCCCCTGAAAAATAAGAAGTTGACTAAAGCCGACTTTGAAATGAAGGTTGAACTAAAAGCCAGACCCTGTGATTTCTGCTCAAATTATTATAGATCCGGTGCATGTTTGTTCTACCCTAGTTTGGACTTCCGTACGCGACAGATTAAAGGATGTATTTGCGAATGCTGTGACTACAGTAGTGAGAGTGAAGAGGCTGAAGAAGAAGGAAGCAATGGAGAAACTAATGAAGGTAAAGGTGATAGTACTGATAATGGTGATGAGGGAGCCTCAAAGTCATCTGTTGTGAATCCTGGTTGGTATGGTAAAGGGTGTCGTAAACGCATTCAGAAAAGAAAATAAGGTAATTATTTGTTGGGCTGCCTGAGAAAATAATTTTTCTCTTCAAATCAACGTGTATACAATACAATACTAATTTCTAAAGTTTTAGAATCATGTAATGATCAAAGTTAAAAATAATAATTTACTCCATTAAATGGGGTGTGATAGCTATTGACAAGCTAAGTTTTCAGTTGGTGAATACTGTACTTAGTATTTTTGGTGTTGTGTTAGTTATAGTGTTTTCTACCATTCTTTTGGAGTTTGTATCTGTGTAAATTTGTTGTCATTCCTACAATATGTTTTCATGTTTCTTCTATCCTAACTAATAATAAAAGGTCAGCAAGTTTTTGAGTGTCTTTGAAATTTTAGTTTTTGGTTTTATGTATGTCCTTAAATGGTTACAAACTGTAATGTTTTATTCTAATAATCCGGTGTTTCTTTTTACTTTGCTCTATCCTTAATGAATTAGTTGTTGTTATATTACTTTAGTGCGAGATTAATTGATTGATTGATTTTAAAATATTTGACTGAGATTGACTGCTTCAGAACAACTGTTGTGTGGGCTTATACTTTTTGCTTCCCATTTTGTATCTACGGTAACTATTCAATGTGAATGATCTTCGATAAGCAGCTAATTATTTTCTCAAGGCATAGACTGATAAATATGCAATAAGGCAACTATTTTATGTTGCAAAACTTTGTTATCATAAATGTGCTGAAGGGCTAAAGTAAACTAATTATAAATTTGGGATCTCATCTTGGGTGTTATGTATTTGGATTGTAAAATTTACATTTATTGAGCCTCTGTGAACCTTCTTGTTCATGTTTACTTCTGGACATAGGCATTTTCTTGTCTGTAGCAAAACATTTGATTACATTATTTCACGCTTATGATGATGACATTTCCATATTGAGAATTGGAGAAAGAGACCGTCCATAGTACAATATACTAATGTTTGCCCTTGAACAATACTACCAAGATATTATTACCGTTCTGTATGAAACATTCTCGCGTTGTATTTTTTCTCACCTGTGGAAATTGTACCCTTAAAATTGAAGTAAGTTGGGACTGATGTGTATATGTTTCTAATTTATTCAAGAAATTATGACATAATTATAGAATTCAGTTGGAGCAAAACATTTGCATTTGCTGAGTTAAGACAGCAACTTAAAGATGTCTTGTTTGTTTAAAAATTGATTCCACTTGCCTGTGAATCATTTTTCTCTCTACCATCCTCTTATTTTACTGCGGTGATAATTATTTTAACACTTGAAGATGTTTACTTATATTTGTTTTTCTTATTTTCAGTATAGTTAAACTATTTATTTACTATGTTTTTCTTTTTTTTCTGTTGCAGCATAGTCATGTACAAAAGACAAATAGGTAATGTCTTTGATGTGGCTGTGCTTTGCAACTTTTTAAATAATAAGTTCTATTCTTGACTGTTGTTCTTAGAATTAAGAAACTTTCAGTCAAGTCATAAAGTGTTTTTTTTTCCTCTTTTGTTGATAATTATTCTGGTTGTTTCATACCAACCCTTAGGGTCTCTGTGTGTCAAAGTGGTACTTAAACATCTCATCTTTTTTGATTACATGCCAACTCTCAGGGCTGTACTTAAATATAGCCAATTTATCATGTGAAAATCATATTGTTATTAAGTCATTTTTATAGAAACCGGATTGAGGCAGTCTGTAACAGTGTCGTTTTTTGTCCTTTACCAAACTAAAAAAAAAATGTGCAAATATTTATTTGGTATATTTGTATTCCCATCAGCAAACTGTTGTTCTTCACTATTCTTTGACACAATCCTGTTCTGTGATTATTTGGTCTCATTTTGTGAATAAATTTATAATGTTATAATTTACAGCTTTTCACTTATTTAAATACACCTTTAATGCCACATAACTAAAACGGGTTTGAATCGCCTCTGAACCCCTACACATTCATCCTCCAGGGTTATCCTGGATCATCTGAGGTGTCATCCGGAACCTTATGAGGTCATTTATGATAGAATTCTACCAAAAACAGTTATTTGCAGGGGGTTTTATGATCGCTTAGTGGCGAAGTCTCCTGTGCAGTCTTTTCTTGATCCGAGCCGACTACAGACTTTTCTCAAGCTACAGATGACAAGTTTTCAGCCAAAATTGACCCTGTGGACCCCACACAGTAAACTCGAGCCCCAGGAGCGCAGGAGCGTGCAGGGATTGCCTACCCCCCAGGCGCTCTCAGCCACAGCACTTCCCTGTAGTTACCCCCTGGAGGGGCATTACGGAGCTCCCTGACTACGGTTCGCCTGCGCCTTCTAAACGCCCTGAAACAGGGTGAGGGGGGTGGAGGGGGGGCAATTAGAAGGCGCAGGCGAATCGCAGTCAGGGAGCTCCGTAATCCCCCTCCTGCAGCCACACAACGATGCACGGGTCGGGAGGCATCCCCAAAGGGTCTCATCCCGGACAAGCGAGGCGGGATTGCCTACCCCAGGCGTCCTCGGCCACAACTCTTCACTAAGGTTCCCCATAGAATCTTAGGACTCTAGTTCCCCACTGCGGCCACATGTTGCATGGGTCACGTCCCTATTTGTGGCCTATTTGCGGCCAGTTGACCTCATAAGGTCTATGAAAGGTGCATTTAAATCGGTGAAAAGCTGCAAATTATAACATTATAAATCTATCTCGAAATTTATTCACAAAATGAGACCAAATAATCGTCGGGGTATGCTCCTTTTTATGGCCACACGCGTTGACATGTTGACACGTTTCCCACTTCGCACAACCCGACAAGACATGTGTCAGGACCAACGCTTATGATATCGTCTGCGACACGCTAGGTAGGCCAACCCGCCAAGCACCCGTGTGAACCTGGCGGCCCACTTAGTTGACTCCAAAGAGTTCCGTTTCCTCGCGCCACTTCGCGAGGCGTTCATTGCGAGGGCAACTTGAATAGGAGCTGTTATTGTTATAATGGACAAGAACATGTGTGATGGAGCTGTTGAGTGTAAGCATCAAGACAAGACTGAATAGAAATAAAGCCGATATCATTGGAATGAATATTTATTCCAAACTTACGATATACAATTTTTTGATCTGGAAGATACAATAGAAAAACCATAATAAGAATGTCAACATCACAATAATTTGATCAAAGTATTTTTTAGAAAAGAAAGGAAAACATAAGATGTATGTAGAAAACAACTATTTTTCTGATATAGAATTGCAACAACAATTATCCAGGGCCCACTGAGAAACAACTGAGCTGTTCACCTCCCCCTATTTTTTTGAGTTTAATAACTTGTCTCTACTGATCACTCTAGATGGAAAGTAAGGAGAATCATTGAACAGAGAAACTATTACTATAATGGCACATTGCCCTTTTTTATTCAAACTTAACGGAAGACATTGGCAGAGATGACATAAGATGAATATAACAGGGCTGTACTAAGAAAAATTGTTTGTATCCTTGAGAGTATTATCAACACTTGAATCAGAACTTTTCTTCTACTTCAAAGTAGGATTCTTATATTAATTTCAAGAAGCAAATATGAGGAAATTAATTCAATGCTCAAAATAAGACTGGTTCATGGAAAAATAATTTGAAATTACAGAACAGATATGTATTGTATTGTGTATTTTCTGATGAAGAGATTTGAAATAGTCATATTGAAGAAGGCATTACAAGTACAACACAGCTAAACCATCCTATATTGAGCTTGGATAAAGTAATATGCACCGTTACTGTTGTATATATAGACAATTCAAAGTTAACTTTAGCAATGCAATGTATTACTATATCTTTAGATTCACATGTCATTGGTGACCTAAAAGAGCTCACATTGAAATAGAAACCTGAAAGTATTGCACATAAAGGAATGCTAAGTCCTGAATAAATTTCTTGCTCTGACCACTAGGAATCAATTATTTCAAACAATCACAGGGCCCTGACAGGCACCTCGTCCTATAAAACCCGTTTGGCGGGTTAATATCCAGTTCTATACACGCCTTCCCATCTTTATAGACATTTTACTTACAAATAAATTATATGTAGCTAT